AGACCTCGGACATCGGCCAGGCCCGGGGAAAGCCCGCCCTTTGCCATCGCCTCCACGGAAGGCCGTGGTCCTGATCGCCCGCCGCAGGGTCACTCCCTGCCCCGGACCCTACAGCCAGGCGGTGGTCAATGACTCCGAAAGCACGCGCGCCCACCAGCTTCAAGGCACCCCCTGGGCCATGCTGCTCCCCTAAACTGGGCCAGGGGTTTTCTGCTCTCAAGATCCCAGGAGTTTACCAGGGCGTCAAGCGGTATGACTGGGCAGGGACCCCTGGGTGGGGTATCTCACGCCCACCTGAGAGGAAAGCTTTTTAGAGCTTACAGGTCTCTCGTTGGACCAAGTGACCGGGTGCCCCTCTCCCCATCCCGCTGATAAGAAAGAAGGGAAGGCCAGTAGGAGGTCTTAGTGTACTGTCCCCGCTACCGCAGTAGTCCTGGGGGGAATGTAAGGACGTCCCCATCCTCACTGAGGAAGCAAGGGCACCATGCCCCCACCCAGGAGAGACCTAGCAGGGCAGGCCTTTAACAGGAAATCCCACCTTACTGCATCCCTAGCTTAAGGTGGACCGGAGGCCTTGCCAATGCAGGGGGGTGGGGGGCAGAGGCTGCTGATGGAACAACAGGGATGCCTGGAGCACCCCCACCCCACTTCCCATCAGGTGGCTCTGCGGTGGCTCCAGCTGTGGTTGAGACTGAAGGTCAAGTCTGCAGCTACTCTGCCTGGGCTGGCCTGTTACCATCATCTGCCTCAGCCTGACATCCTGTCAAGTCCTGAGGCCCTCTAGGGACCCTCTGCTCTAAACCTCTAACCCTTGGGAGCATCGCCCTCCCTGACCCTGTTCCTCTGCAGCCATGACCCACGTGGCCACAGGCGCCACTCCACTCGCGTGCAGCATGGGGCTTGCTCCTTGCCTCTCGGGGGCTTTGGGACGCTCGCAGCCCGAGTTCCTCACAGCAACACAGGGCCCTAAGCCACAGGCACAAGAACAAGAGGCATTTGTTTCCCCTCACCCCCATTACACTCTGAGTTACCACCACTCCATATTCCCTGGAGACTGCCCACAGGCCCCCACCAAGAGGCCTGCGATAACGGGGAACTGAGGCAGTGGAGGGCCAAGGACCAGATGAGCTAAGGCCATCTGATGCCCTTGAGATCTGGAGCCACTTAACCAAGCCCTCCCACTAACAGATTGGACTGAGGACAGCACAATGGCCACCTGAATTCATTCTTACACCCATCCTGCCAGCAGCCAGGTGCTCACAAGCTCCAGGTCGAGACTAAATGACCTGGACTCAGCCCGTGGACCACATCTCCCTGTGGGCTTCCCATGAAGACAGGGCTGTGTCAGGACAGGGGGCAATCTTCCTCTGCTGGCTTGGGGGCCCGTGCTCCTATGAAGATCGGCATACATGCCAGCCTGGGGAGAACCCTCTCCTTGAGGCAGCTTGCCTGGACACTGAGGGTGGTGGGTGGGGTGCGCACGGTCATGACCATTACTTTCCTCATCCAGGGTCATGGCTGGAACTGTTGGACAGCAAGGCTTGCCATGACCCCCAGGGTTGGGCCTTCATAGCACCGAGTGCTGCCAAATCTAGTCCAGAGACCGTGAATCCTTAGCCCAGGACCAAGGAAAACCCAGACCAAGGTAGTATTCCGAGAGACAAGGAACTGGAATGGAGACGGTACAAAAAGCTCACTTCCAATCCGTTACAAGGTCCCAGACGGCTGCTAGCAACTTTCTGGGGCATCACTGCCCCCGTAAAGCACCATCCCTTCACAGCCTGGGACGATTAGGGGCCCGGTCATGTAGGCCCTTTCTACAAGCTATTCAAGTGTGCAAGAGGCAGCAAGCGTGTTACACGACCTGACTTGGTCCCAGCCGCTCCAACGGTCAGGTCCCTTTCTTAGACACATTTCCCCTCCCCAACAGGAAAGCAGTCTGCAATTTACATTATGTGACATCAACTTTTATTGGAGTCCAGGAAAAGTTACAGCGGCTCTTCTCTGCCAACAGGGATGTTAAAGGTTCGCCAAGGTAATTTGGGATCCTTTCACATCGATCAGCAAAGCCCTCTCCCAAACCCCAAGTTCCCACTGGTTCATGGCACAGCAAGTCTTCAAAGAGTGTGAGTGGACATTGACAGGACAGAGCACCCCGATTCCACATTATTAAGACAGCAGAGCCTCCACGCACCCGTGTGAGAGCCCACGCTTGTGGGGAGCACAATCCACGCTGGCACGCTGGGGGGAAAAGGGGCACCAGGCCGCAAGGCCAGAGGTGACACCGCAGAGCAGAGGTAGCCAGCCTCATCTTTGGTTTGGTATTGAGGACACACAACAGACCCCTGGTAGGTGGTGATGGTTCACAGGTACAAGGAACACGAATGACACACACAAGGCCCTCTGTCTACAGCAGGCAGCTCGTGCTAGAAGGCAGGTCCGTTTGTTCCTCAGAAGCCATCCCTGCATGGTGCAGCCTGACCAGGAAGCACTGTCACACCGCCACAGAACCAGTGTCCTAACCACGTCAGCCAACGACACTGAAAACCATTCTTGACTAAAGATGCTCAGCAAGCAGGTGGCATCCCAAGTGCAGGCCAGGCGCGCAGACAGCCTGGGCTGCCAGGGGACAAGGGTTTTTTCTGAGGATGCTGGAGGCTGCAGTCTATGTGGTCAACGGCCCTGGTCCGAACAGGGGAGGTGCCAAGGCGCTGATCAAAGTCAACGCGGCCCCGGCTGAGACACAGGCGCTGTTAGCTGGATTCTCTCTCCCCAGGAGGCCAACCAACACCTCCCTGCACCATCAGTGCAAATTCGCAGGCCCCCAGCAGCCCCACTGGCACGAGGCTTAGTCACCACAAGTGGGAGCATGGCTTCAACCAGCTGGCACGCCACAGCACACCTCAGCAAGATCCTCACCTCACCTAAAAAGCGGACCTAGACACAAGCACGCACACACGGACAGGGGCCAACCAGGCCGCAGCACTACGCCGCAACACACAGTCCTGTCCTCGGAGGCAGTTACCAAATGCGGTTTTTATTCTCTATTTTTGATGACTATAAATAAGTGTTTCCACTATGGAAAAGAAAGTTTGCACAGTACATTTTCATGACTGGGGAATGAGTTTTCAGAAATTGTCTTCAATAGGACAGAAACTTAGAAAAAACAACCTGGATGTTGGAATTCAAACTGCTTTATATAAAGTCCCTTGTAAACAAAAACAGAATAAAAATAAATCAAAAAAATAAAGGAATGGGATTCAAAAATAAAAAAGAATTCAGAAAAAAAGGAAAGGGAATAAAAGAAAGTAACCGAAGACCATTTATTGCTTTTCTTCCGCCTTCTCGGCCTCCTCGCCTTCAGACGCCTGGACCCCGGGAGCCTCCTTGCCGTCCTCCTTCACCGAAAGGGCCTCGAGCTTTTCTGCCACCTTCTCGGCGTTATCGTTCTTCCCCAGTCCTGCAAAGACAGTGAGAAGTCGCACGTGATGGCAGCAAGACCTGGGACAGCCGGCGGCTCAGCTCACGACAGGAGACAGGGCCCCTGTGGCACAGGACGGGGGTGGTGCCTCACCCCACCTCATCTAATGGACCCTTGGGGACACTGCTGACCCTGGGGATAACTTAGTAGTGGCTGGGGACAGATTCCCTACAGGCCACCTCTCTGCCATCATCCTGGTTTAAGGATTTGGGGCCCAGATCACCTCAGAGCCGAGTCTGTTGTCTTTTAAGGCTTCAAATCAAATCAAATCAAATCAGTCCAGTAACTCCCTCATGCCTACCACACCCATGCGGGAAAGGTGGGATTCTTTCAGTCACTCCCTGGCCTAAAGTGAAGCAGCCGCTTTAGCTCTGATGGGACTGAGCCAGACTGCACCCCGGAGTGAGTGTGCATGGGACACACGCTTGTCCCCCGGTAGCGGCGTCCCCTCAGACAGGCTGAGGGGCTCACAGCAGCCCGGAAGGTTTCTCTGGCAGACAGAAAAAGCATCGGGCCTGGGACTGCAGCCAGATGCAGAGTGAGTCTGCGAGGAGGGCTCCCACCACCACGCCCCCCCACGGTCACCTTTCTTTTCTCGCTCTTCAATCTCTTTCCTGCACTCTTCAAACTTTGTTTTGAATTTCTGTGCATCTGAGGGAAAGAAAAAGCACATCTTAAAGAGTCCTTGTAATGGAAACAGGCTCTGGATAGTGCTAAAAAAGCAAGACCCTCCAGGAGCCCAGCCCGTAACTGGTGACCTCAGAATCAAACTGGGTTAGCAGACCCTGACTTAGGCTTTCACGTGGACCATGTGTGAACCATGTGCCGGCCCTGCTTCCCCTCATTAGATTTTAAACAACTCTACACCAGGCTTAGCAGAGCTGACGAGACCACAGGCCCCATACCCAACCCACCTGATTATGTCATGGCCACAGTCCTGAAAACCCAGGCCAGAAAATCTAACAGAAAAGACCCTCAAGCCAGAGGTCACTCTGGGCCTACACATGTGTCAGCACAGCCTCCAGTATCAGGTGACAGTTCAGAAGATGTGCTACTTGACCGGGGCCCATCTATGCAGTGACCACAGCCCCAGCCCAGCCTCAGCAGGCTAAGCCCACGGGAACACAGAAAAATGTGCAAGGGCTGAGGAGCGGTAGGAAGTCCCTGGGGTTAGGCTTTTGCAATTGGATAGAAACTACAGCTTCAACAGCAAACTGCATTGTCTCCTTGATCGTGTTAAGAGTGAGATGTGGGAACTATCCTGATGACCCCATTCAGAATGATGTGATGCTCAGACAGTTTAAGGTGTTAATGACAAGCACATGGCCCTGAGAGGAGGTGTGCTCCACAGCTCAGATGACCTTCAAGCCCAGCCCTCTGGGCCCCAATGTCCAGCAGAAACCTGGCCACCCTCACACACTTCACTGAGGTCCCCAAAGCAGTGCTTTTATTTGCAACCAAGACCTGAGAGGTCAGCCTGGTAGGCGCCAGTGAACCCCTTTCTTCCCACCGTCCCACTCACTTTCAGCATTTAGGAACCGGATGGCAAGCAGCTCTGGCTTGGGGTACTCGTCGGCGAAGTCGGCATGGGTGTTCCAGACCCAGGCTCGGTCACTGCCTGCGTTCGGCTTCAGCTCCATCAGTGGTGTGACTGAGGAGAGAAAGGTCCAGTGAGACCTAGAGACCCCCCCAGACCCACCAAGGCCCCAACTTGAGGCAACTCAATCAATCAGGCCCAGACCAAGTTCCCTGAGATCCAGTTCTGACCCAAACATCTCTAAAACATCCCCCTACTCCTACTCACTCTAGTATCAGGACTATGCAAAGAACAAGAAGATAGGGAAGCTGCTTCTTAGAGTATCTCCTTCACCAACACTCAGCGTAATCCAGAACACGACCGTGTAGCTGCTCCATACCCCGCCCAGGGACTGCATGCCACTGAGCAGCTCAGAAGCCCCCTACAAGCTATGGTCACCCCAGGGAGGGAGAAGACAAGCGTGTCTGGATACACACATCCCCACATCTCCAGTGAGTCCAGGGAAGAGGAGACGGAGTTGCACCAAGACAGGAGCTGCCTTGAGCTGCATCCTGCTGGGAACCACCCACCAGCTCGGCCCCTGGAGGACAGGAGCATCGTGGGCTCTGGGTGCACTCATCGCACCACGTAATGAAACCAGCCTAGTCCCTCCCCAAGGCTTCGGGGGAGTCCATGGAGTCTCAGGGAAGTCACTGAGGATAAAGTTGGATGAGTGGCTGGCTAGTGCTAGGCTGGGCCTAGGCGCAGACAGGCTGCGCAAGTGGGGCAGGGGCGTGACCTCCTGAACACAAACCACATCCAGTTAACAGGCGCTACTATGCTGGACCCAGGAAGTCAACGTCTGCACTGCTTCTAAAGGCATCACCATGCATGCAACAGCAGAGCCTGAGATCCTGCAGAGAAAGCTGGAGGCCAAAACGAACACCACCACAATTCAGAGCACCCCAGCTCCTCGGGTAAGCCCCGGCTGTTGTCATGTCTGGAGTCCCCTCCCCTGGCTCCCTAGCGTACACCCTGGCTGGACCAAAACCAGGGCTGAAAGGCTGACTCCAGGGTCTGTTGGCAGCCAGGCAATGTCTTAGTGAGTCGTGTGTATAAGCCCTGCTTTCAGAATGCTCCTAGCTCAGAGGCACACAGGAAAATGACGTTTTCTGCTTAGTATCAAGGGAAAAATGAAGACACACCACAACCGTGCCTTCCTGTGAACACACCCCCCTCCACCCTGCCCCCCGGCCACCCCGGGGGACCTACTGTAGTGGTTGGCACAGATCTTCAGGGTCTTGTCCCTGCGCATGAGCAGACGGATACTCCCCTTCTCCTTATGCTTCAGGAGCTTCACGTCGCCAGTGCCCCGCTCCTTCCACTCGGGGAGATCGTTTTCAGAGGCAAAGCGGTATAACTTTGCCCGCCTTCGAGAAAGGTCAGTAAGTAAGTGCTCAGACAGATGGATGAACAAAGAGAACAAAATCTGAAAATATTTTAACCAAGTTCAAAATACCGCCAAAAGTGGCAAAGAGCGACAAATTTCGGCTCCCTTTTGTGCCATGATTAAAACCAGTGCATCAGGTGTCTGTCTAAAGCTAAGCTGGGAGTGAGTGAGGCGTGTGCTCCCTACCCCAGATGGCGACGGAGCAGCATGGAGACAGGCAGGGGGAGGCTCCAGCAGGCAAGATGACACCTAAACGTCACCCACAGGTCTCTGGCCCAACACCCAGTTTTCCTTCCTGCCTACAAGCACCACCTCACAAGGACACATCTACTTTTACCCATGTTTGGGCCCCAGTTCCCCAACACAATGAGGACCTGTAAGGCACCCAGCAGTCTGGTCTGAGGAATCACACCAGCTCCCTCCCTCCCCAGTGACCACAGGTGCATGGCCACCGGGCTCCCTGGCCACAGGGCAGAAAACTCTGCTCCCGTCAATCCCACCAAGGGAGCACGAGGTTTCTGAACAAGACAGCCCCTCACAGCTTTACCACAAGAGTCCAGGGGCCAAACTGTAAGAGCTCAATTTGCTGGCCTCACCTTCCATGGGAGGGTCCACCCACCTCCAGAACCCAGCACCCCTGCAGATAAAGGGGACCCGGGAGCTCCTCCTTTCCAGGCCCACGGGAGCATCCTTAGGTGGAGGGGGTTCACACTGGCCATGGTGACTGCGCCTCTGCTTCCTTCCTCCTAGTCGTGGGCAAACTGGGGGGAGGATCCACCGAGAGGGGAGGGCGAAAGACTACACCTTTATTCTCACTAACCTGTGAAGGCGTCTAAGGTTCCTGTGATTATAAATGTAGGTCACAGGCCCTATAGGCCTGCATCCCGAGTCATATTAACGCTACTCCATAAAAACACCTGGCACTGGGGCTGCATGGCCAGCACCAACGAAAAGCACGTGTCCTACCTTCAAACAGGGAATCTTGACGACTGCCCTCAACATCATGCATTCCCTTCCTAACTCCTCTGGGCATGGCACTCTGTGCTTCCAAAAACATTTAGTTTAAATTGGGAATTCACTTCTGACTTTGAGACTACCCAAACAGATAACCGTACTTTGGTTCTGGAGGAGATGGGGAGCCCTAGTGGGCACAGGGGCGTTGATGGGTCAGCAAGGAGGGCTGGACATGGACTAAAATGAATGAGAAGCTCTGACTTTGCAATTGGGATCAGTCACTGCACAATCCAGGCTCTTTCCTCAGACATCTGTACGTCCAATGGAAGTCCCTTGACACTGATAAAATACCAAAACTACCACCTGCCTACTTACATTTTAAAAAGTTCCTCTTCATCTTCCTCCAGCGTTTTAATTTCTTGTTCAGGAAGGGAAACTATCGGCTCAAACTGGGGGTCGTGGTTGGACTCGTCGGCATTTTCAGTGGTGTCCCGATCCTCATGAGAATCCTGTGGAGGCAAAAGGCGAGGCCCTGGCTGCTGGCTCGCAGTCCCCGCCACCCCAGACAGACGCCTTCAGAAACATGGATGGGCCTCATTCAAAAGCAGGAATGCAGGCCTGCGGCCTTCCACACCAAAAAGGGTTAGTGCTTCAACCCAGCTCCACAGAATCACCACATGAGTACGTGAGCCCCCTCCGCTGATGCACATGGACCAATCAGACGGCAGGCAGACTCAGGGAGCCCCCTCATCTCCCTGAGCCTCAGTTTCCTGTCTGTGGGATGCAGACAGTGCAAAGGACAAAGAGCACAGGGATGGATTGAAGAGGGCCTTGATGACCAAAACCACTCTTAAAGCAAAAAAAAAGGAACCCCTTTCCAGAGTGTTTAATCTGGACCCAAAGCCATTCATGCTCTCGGCTTACTAGTAAAGGTGTAACCAGAATGCGTCATAAAAGTTGGCCTTTTTCCTCTAAAAGGAAAAAAGAAAACAAAAAGTTATTTATATGGACTTCCCGGCTGCCAACAGCTGTCATTTCACCTTGTCTTAGAAAACTAAGTAGATACACCAAATCATATGTTGCAGCAAGAAAAGGAAACAATCTATGAAACTAACACTGGCCTTTGTAACATCCTCAGCTGAGTGCAGTAAGAGGCACAGTTTGCTCAGAGTGGAGCCAGTGTGAGACGGATGTGAATCTGTGTAGATTCATGTCACCCGGGAGAAAAATCAAATCAGATGACCTTGTTTTGTTGTGGTTAGGGGTCCTTCCTCCCTACCCCAGTCCGTCCTGGTTTATAGAGACTCCGATGGACCACACACTGCTGCAGCCTCTGTCACTGCACCACGGGGTCTCCCTCTTCCTCACTGACCATTCCTTTGCCAAACATGACGTCCTTCTATGAGGACTGACAGGGAAGACTGGGAATCAAGTCAGCTGAGACATGCAACCCTTTATACACTCAGCTGCTAGCCTTACTGGCTGGCAAGTCAAAGGGATCCCAGAGGAGCCTCGGAAGGACTGGGATCTATTTTCCAAACACGAGCCGTCCCAACCCCAGCACAGCACAATCCTACCCTAACACACAGGGGAGTCGGCATCAATCAAAATGGATTTCATGTCAACTTTTTTTTTTAAAAAAAAAATACACACACACACACAAAAATACACACACATATAAATATACACCCGGTGTCTTTCAAACCTGAAATAAAAGCTTTAAAGTGAAGACGGGGCGTTTGGGGGGAGGGGAGGGAAGATCGTGTATAAACGTAAATCACGGGATTTGGACCCAACGTGGAGATGGGAGGAGGAGGAGGAGGTTAGATGTGGCTGAAGCTCCAGTTTTACAGGGCACGGGATGTGATGGGCTGGATGAAGGATGGCGAACCTGCAAAAAGCAAGCCGATCCTCTGGCTACTGTCCCTGCGCCGCGGCCAACAAAGCCGCCGCCGCCCCCCGGGTCGGGCGCGTCCGGGGGGCCCCCTGCCCCCCTAAGCCCCACGCGCGAGCTTCCGCCACCAGGAGCCCGCGGCGGGTCGCGGCGGCGGGAGGAAATGAATGGAGCGCTGCGAGGGCGACAGAAAGGGAGGGATGCTGGGTGGCGAAGGGGAACTCCCCGCGAGTGGGCTGAGCTGGAGAAAATC